AATGCGTGAGGATACCTTTCAAGTATGTATGCCTGTTTGGGCTATTTTTATACAAAGCAGAGAGTGCATTATGCTATTACTGCAGTTACTGCTTTTGAAATGTGGAATAAAAGTTAAGCCTTAACCTGGGACCCTGGAAGTTTCGGCATTGTATTTTTTCGGTTTACCTGTATATGGAACACCTGCCACGCCAAGCCTCGGACTAGGGTGACTGTAGGAGAGGTACTGAATTGAAGGAGAGGTGAGCGTACCTTTTTATAGAACTCATTGCTACTTTACAGGAGCAACAGGTCACATAGGCAAGGGGGATGAGTGAACCTTTGATAATTTTATCATATCTGGAAATAATGTGTGATGTTCATGACAAATATCGTATTCAGTTTGTGTCTGACTTCCGCCTGCTGCTTATGTGTAGTTGTGTTCCCTTTCTCACCCCAAATCTGTCCCACCTTTCATCTTCCTAAACCCTGTTGTAACTCCCCTAACAGGATTATCCAATATGTAGCTGTTAATGAAATACATTTCTCTTGATCCTCAGCCAATAATTGGTTTATCCCTGCTCTGTCTCATCCATAGTTTGCTGTGTCTCTTGGGGCTCTGCAGTGCTGAATTATATGGAGCAGATATAATACAGAGATAGGAGGAGAAAGGTTGCTTTGTAATGGACATCTTAACTTTGTTGGCTGTATCTCCGCGCTCAGATGTGACTTGTGATCTTTGTGATTATTCAGCAGAAGATGAAACTCTTGATTGTGTTATTGTTTTGTAAAATCTGTTAATTGCTGTTTTGGAGATCTGGTTAATGTGTGAACATTACAAACGCACACACGCAAGCAAATTGCTTCCTTTCAGCTTTACACAATATGAATCAAAATTGTGATTATTATTTATTTGGACTTAATTTTACTTGTTTGTCATTGTTGCTGTTTCACATTTTGAAGGAGGCGGGGAACATGTATCCATTACCCAAATGTAAATGGCGTTTTGTCAGTTTGGCTAAAAACTAAAATAAAGTGTTTAAAGGAACACTCTAGTGCAGGCTTCCCCAAACGCCGGCCCTCCAGATGTTACTGAACAACAACTCCCATGATTCTCAGCCTATCTATTTCATTCATATAAACATGGGAGTTGTAGTTCAGCAACAACTGGAGGGCCAGGGTTTGGGGAAGCCGGCTCTAGTGTTAGTACTCCTAAAGCTTTAGTGTCCCCCCTATATGTGTAGGTGACCAACCTCTTGCAGTGGTTTAAAAGGTCAAATAATCACTCAGCACCTATGGAGTCTCTTTAATATGTACATATCTAAATTCTCAAAATATAGTCTTATAACAAAATTAGTGCCAAAAATGCATTCTCAATACAGTGAGAAATGTCCGGAATTAAAAGTGAATTTAACGCTATAAATCTAAACGGAAAAACAGCTATGTTTCCAGTGCAGCCATTGTGACGTTAAATTTAAAATCCACTTTGAATTCCTAACAATTATCATTTTTATTGAATAACCCTGCTAGGGTATTAAACCGGCATCAGGCATCTCAGGTTTTCAGACACTGCATGTTTTCACTTCAATTATTTAAAAAAAAAAATATATACAAATATAATATGTAAGAAGCTTTAAATAATAATAATTATAATAATCACAGTTCTAATAAAAGCAAACGGGCCACAAGTCTGAACACAAATAACAAATACATTTAAATTATATGTCTGACTGGCACTACTGAAATATTTTATCCATCTCTCTCCAAAATCCCTTTTGAACCCAAATACAGGCCTAAAGACAGAAATATGTATTGCTTACCAACACCATACTGCAGTGGACCCCACTATATTTATAGACTAAATAAATAGGCTGACTGGCAAGTCTTATCTCCTTTTTTTCTTTTGTTTGTATTTCATTATGTGCTTATTTTTTGTTAGGCAGATTGTTAAATAAAAAATGGCATGGTATAATGTATAACTTGATGACATTTGATGTTATACAATCCACTTCTGTAATACTGATTATAAATATATATATATATTTTAAAGTTTGCCTGTATTGCCTGAATTTTATCAGATTCACTGCTCCCCTTGGTTACGTTTTACAAGTCACACAGGCCAAACACTAATGATGTGACATTTTCATGTGGACACTTATTCCATAGTTGTGGTGGAGCTTTGTAGGAGACAGCCCAATGGCGTGCATCCTATCTATAACATAGAATGGTAAAGAAAACGTTCAAGAACAACAGACAATCTATTTGTGTCGGACAGGTTGCACACGTTACAAGTGCCTTGTATCTTTATTTTTGGGATGGCCGAGCAATCTAAGGTGCTAGACTCGAGGGTAACCTGTTCTCTTAAAGGGGTGTTCTGGTTCCTGAATTGAAGTGTAAGTTCAGATCTCACTGCACACACACATTTTATATTCTTTCTTTGTTATTTTGTAGGTTAGCAAGCAATAACTATACCAGTGACTCTGATGATTAGTGATATGGGTGCTTCTCCCAAGTCATGAAAATTAATTAAAATCAGGATTTAAACTTAGCCTAAATTTTAAGGCTAAAGTAGCCGACCTGCAACCATAACTGACTTAGATCACAGGATAGAATAGCAGCACGCTATTATATTTTAAAGCTCTTCAAATCTTTTATAATGGGTTGTTAGAAAAGAGAGACATCCTTAAACACTTCTACAACTTACTTCATCAAGCAGCAGACTCGTTTCTTCCTTGAGTCATGGCAAGCGTTTCGTCAATTTCTAATTCTCTTACATCTACATTTTTTTTTCTGTGATACATTTATTAAAAGTATATTGATTCGAACTATATCAAAATTCATAGACTGCTTGGCTGTTGGATTGAAATTTGTTCTAGGAGCTCGGAATCATCCAAATGAATGTGATTTAGCCATTAAAAAAATTTACAAAATAAATTTGTGGTTTACAAAAAAGCTCCTCACAATAAGGATTTCGCACCTGAAAGTGTCTTGTGACTCTTGGCATTTTTTAAAAAGGACACAATTTCTGTTTTTGTCAACTAGGATCTGTTCTATGAGCTAAGAATCGTTATTTTAATGAGATGTAGGGGAATCCCACTGATAAAGACCTTACATTTGAAACTTTACGTTAAGTTTATCTGAGCTAGAAATTAAGGTAACCATTTAATTGACTATTAATACATTTTATTTAATAGTAAATGATATTGGTGAGTGACTTTACTGGAAATGCTTTGTGTTCTAACTTTGAATGATTGGCATTAAGCTACCGACTCAATGTATTCTAATGTTATAAGTTTGAATTGTATCTACCATGTTTAATAAATTAACACAGCAAAAAAAATATATAAAGGGTATTATTTTTTTTATTTTATTTTTTTACAATTGTTGTGCATTGATTGGTATGTACAACTAGTGACAGCATGATATACTTATTGTGTATAAACCCTTTCTGATAACAACAGTCTGTCTTTTGTGCTCTTTGAAGAGTTTCACTAATATTGAAAATATAAAATAATGCATCAGATGGACACTTCCTGCAGAGATCCACAAACATGGAACATATTTCTACATGCCTATGGGAATATGTCCCATTGTTACTATTCTTGAAGATGATCATTAATATATTGTATAATTCCCCTCGGTGGTTCTATGGAAAATGTGGGAACAATTATATATATAAATATATATAGTAGAGCATAATAAAAAGATAGCCTTTGTTTACACTATGTATAATCAATCATTTATATCCGGCCAATGCCAAAATAAAAAATGTGTAGATGACTCTCCACAACTGATCTTTAATGAGGCTTTTAATAATATCTCAGAATGTATTAATCAACTGTTTTATTAAACCATTGTTCATTTTGAAACATTTTCCATTTTCTAACAAGATGGCCGAAACTAACACGAAATAATGTCATTCTGACTCTTTTTGAATGTATCTTCCAAAAAAAACCACCCAAATTCAGAATTAAAGTTTGTATATGTGCCTAAATTCCATATACAATGAGTAGAGTTACTACATATCCTGAAAGTAAAATTTGTACAGAATATTAAACAGGACATACCCTGTTGCCAGGAAATAAATATGAGTGCCATACACAGAGATACATAAGACCATGTAGATTGGTTCCACTGTGGAAGCACCAGTACCCTACAGTCAATAATAGCACAGACAACTCTACATTTTAACGGTCACATTTACATTGAGACATTGAAGTTTTTTTTAAGAGGCACCATACACCAACATTTTGTTATGTTTTTTAAAAAAATATTGTTTATTTATGTTTTCAATTTCAAAGAGTGTTACAACGAAGGTTTTAGCGGTACATTTGACTTGATAAAGAATATACATGAACCAATGATAGAACTTTTTTACATTGGATAACAATTATTTGTAAGAAATTAGTGCTTATTAGTATACATATTAAGCATTTCACCTTCTGCGAACGTATTGTCCGGCTTTACTGTTGTTGTTGGAGTCCCATTTTTCCCAATTCATGCCCTCCATAGTGGTTCTATAATTGCTATCTGAGTAAGCGGAGGTTATGGAATATGTTGGGTGTTTTTTTATTCCTCTCTGATATTGTAACGATACCTTACCTTTACCCACCGAACCCGTGCAGCGCGATGGTCTCCCTTGCTGCTTCCGGGAGGCGGCACAGTCCATCTGACGCTGGACGCTCGCAGCATGCCGACGTCATCAGTCTATTGCCGGGAAAATTCAAACGTGGCCACGCTCCCGAACCTTTTGGGGGCGTGGCTTTAAAGTAAAAGACACCTCACTATAAAAGGGCGCCCCTGTCATTTCTTCAGCGCCCTAGTGTGGTTCTTCTGTGTTCCCTCTAGTGCTCTTGCGATTCATGACAGTTTTTTTCTGGTATTTTGACTCTTGGCTTTCCTTACTGACTCCTCTCCTCTCTGGTTCCCCGATCATTGGCTTGGTTATTTCTTGTGTATTCCGATTTCTGTACTCCCTCAAACTCTGGCTATTCCTTTGACTATTCTTTGACGTTGAGCCCGGCCACCCTAAGGTCCGGTATACGTCTCTTTCTGGGTTACTCTCTGCGTGAAGGGGTCACTGTCGTGACATTACACTAGGGCCATGGACCCTGCAGGTGTTAACCCTCATGGGCCGGTTCCTGATAACCGGTTTGAGGAGCTGGACCATCGCATGGACCAGTTCGCTGTGGCTGTTCAAACCTTGTTAGCCCATACTGCCCATCTCCAGCCGCAGGAGCATATCCCAGGTCATAGACCCCAGGAACCTCATATGGAAATGGTTGCAGGAGGTGCTTCTAACCACACTACATCCCCTCTTCGTTATGGGGGTGATCCCAAAGGATGCCGTGGTTTCCTAAACCAGGTCAGCATTAATTTTGAGCTTCATCCTAGAGCTTATCCTACCGATAGATCGAAGATTGGTTACATAATAACCTTGTTAGTTGATAGAGCATTAGTTTGGGCTAATCCTTTGTGGGAAAACGACAATCCCATAGTTTTCAACTATGCGGAGTTCATCGCGGCCTTTAGGAGAACTTTTGATCCCCCTGGGAGATGAACTAATGCCACCAAAACCCTATTACGAATGAGACAGGGGTCTCGTTCTCTGGTCGACTATGCCCTAGAATTCCGCACTCATGCTGCTGAGGTTAGATGGAATGAGCAGGCTTTTGTGGATGTGTTCATGAATGGACTTTCTGATAAGCTTTTAGATGAAGTGGCTACCAGAGATCTACCTAATGTGTTAGAAGAATTAATCACCTACTTAGCTCATATTGATGAATGTCTCCGGCATAGGCAAAACACCAGGGATAGACCTAGACGTGTGCCGGAATGCCTACCCTTAACCTCCCCTTCGTCTGAGGCAATCGCCGTCGCTCCCGCAGAACCAATGCAATAGGGAACCACACGGTTGTCTGAGACCGAGAGACTATATAGACGAAGGGAGGGACTTTGTATGTATTGTGGGAAGAGAGGGCATTCCCGCTTAACCTGTCCAAGCAGGCCGGAAAACCCCAGCACCTAAGCCCTCTAGGAGGACAGGCCTTGGGTGTGATGTGTATGTCCTCCTTCAATGACAAAAAAGATCTCAGGTTTCTTCTACCATTAATTATCGAATGGGAGGAAAAGAAAGTAACAACCATTGTGTTAATAGATTCTGGGGCAGCCGAGAATTTTGTTGATCGCAAATTCGGTCAGCGTCATGATCTCCCATTTCGGAAAGATCAACACCCTTGGCCATTGAGGCCATAGATGGTAGACCACTGTCAATCCCTTTTATTACTCAAGAAACTAATCCCTTAGTCTTGACTGTAGGTTCCTTGCATCAGGAAATTATAACTCTACAACAAATAACTTCTCCCACCTTTCCTGTTATACTTGGTTTTCCTTGGCTCACCAAGCACAATCCTTTAATAGACTGGGAGAGAAAAGAAATTGTAAAATGGGTTGATTTTTGTTTTAAAGAGTGTATTATTCAGGTCAAGCCTGTAGGTCTACTTAATGTCCATACTATGGAACCCTTAACCACCCAAATACCCAAACAATATTTGGATTTCAAGGCGGTCTTTGAACCAAGGGAGGCAGAAAAGTTACCACCCCATCGTTTATACGACTGTGCTATTGACTTGTTACCTGGTACAATGCCCCTTAGGAGTACCGCGTATCCCCTCTCTGTGGCTGAAAATAAAGTACATCACAGAGAACTTAAGAAAGGGTTTTATTACTAATTCTTCCCCCCCCCGCCCCCCCGGCTGGGGACGGTTTTTTCTTTGTCTCTAAAAAGGAGGGAGATTTGAGACCTTGTATCGACTATCAGGGGTTGAACAAAATAACCATACGAAACGCTTATCCTATACCTCTAATAACTGAGCTTTTCGACAGGTTGAAGGGAGCAACCATATTCACTAAGCTGGATTTACGGGGAGCGTACAATTTAGTTAGAATCAAGAAAGGACATGAGTGGAAGACTGCTTTCAATACTCGCTATGGCCACTACCAATACAGGGTTATGACCTTCGGCCTATGCAACGCCCCTGCAGTCTTCCAAGACTTGATAAACGATGTATTAAGAGATTATCTACAAATGTTTGTCATTGTTTATTTAGATGGTATACTAATCTACTCTAAAAGTATTAAGGAACACCATAGGCACGTCAGGTTGGTTCTATCCAAATTATTGAAGAACGGACTCTATTGTAAATTAGAAAAGTGCCTGTTTGACATGGAAAAGGTTAATTTCCTAGGTTATATAATTTCAGGTTTGGGTTTTCAAATGGAACCCAAAAAACTGGAAGCAATCTTAAACTGGCCCTTACCCGTTGGACTTAAGGCTATCCAACGTTTCCTGGGATTTGCTAATTATTACAGGTAATTCATCAAGGGATTTTCCTCTATTACCGCTCCTATTACCGCCATTACAAAAAAAAGTAGGAATCATATGAAGTGGAGTCTCGAAGCTAAGGAAGCTTTTGAGAAGTTAAAAATAGCTTTTTCTTCAGCACCCGTATTAAGACATCCCGATCCTTCATGTCCCTTCCTTTTAGAGGTAGATTCATTGGAGACTGGGGTAAGGGCTGTACTATCTCAGAGACCCTCAAATGATCAACCTCTACATCCCTGTGGTTTTTTTTCAAAGAAACTGACTGAAACGAAAAAAAAAGATATGATATAGGAGATAGGGAACTGTTAGCTATTATTTCAGCCCTCAAGGAATGGCGTCATCTATTAGAGGGGTCACCTGTACCGATCACCATTCTTACTGACCATAAAAACCTTTCCTATTTCGGAGAGGCTAAAAGAATGTCTGACAGACAGATTCGTTGGTCTTTGTTTTTAACACGCTTTAATTACATTGTGACATATAGACCCGGATCTAAGAATACTAAAGCTGATGCCCTACAACATGAACATCTATCTCCCCGCGTATAGCCACAGTTCATGCTACGATCTCTTCTGGTTTAATGAAGGAATTATCCACATTCCAGGATCAAATCTCTTTGACTATCCCTCGGGGAAAATTATACGTACCTATGGCATATAGAAGAAAAGTCTTGTCCTTGGTGCACGACTCCGAATTCGCCGGTCATCCCGGTATCCATAAGACTGAATCTTTACTTGAAAAACAATTCTGGTGGCCCTCATACAAGAAAGATGTTTGATAATTTGTTCTAGCCTGTAACATTTCCTGTAACTGTTCCTCTAATAAATCTCCTAAGAGTGGTCCATTAGGTCTCCTCATGCCGTTGCCTATTCCCGATAAGCCCTGGTCGAGTATCGCCATGGATTTCGTAGTGGACCCACCCCTTTCCAAGAATCACAGAGTGATACTGACTATAATAGACAGATTTTCAAAGATGACCCCTCTTGTCCCCTTAATTAAATTACCTTCTTCCTCCGAACTGGCCACTTTGTTTATAAGGGAAGTGGTTCGTTTGCACGGTATACCTGTGGATATAGTTTCCGACAGGGGTCCGCAATTTATTTCCAGGTTCTGGAGAGCATTTTGTAACCAATTGGGTATCAATCTTAATCTATCTTCTTCGTACCATCCCCAATCTAACGGGGTTACAGAAAGGATGAATCAATCACTTGAACAATACATTCGCTGCTTTACTTCCGATCATCAAGATGATTGGGTAGATTTACTTCCATGGACTGAACTTTGCCCACAATAACCTGATACACGAATCTACGCAACACAGTCCCTTTTATATCAATTATGGTTTTGACCCTATTACTCTTCCGAGTTCCTTTTCATCCACGGAAGTGCCAAGTGTTGACGGCACTATTAAAAATATGAAAGAAACTTGGTTAGGGGTTAAACATATTTTGATTCAGAAGGCAGAAACTCAAAAGTGTAAAGCAGATAGACAACGAAAAGCCGCTCCGACTTTTATGGTAGGGGACAGAGTATGGTTGAGTACTCGCAATATAAAATTAAAAGTCCCCTCTATGAAGTTCGCTCCACGTTTTATTGGTCCTTTCAAAATACTCAAAAGCATTAATCCGGTCTTTTATCGTTTGGGTTCACCGGCTTCTATGAAGATACCCAATTCCTTTCATGTTTCTCTCCTTAAACCTTTAATTTGTAATCGTTATAGTCGAATACCCACAAGACCTCCTACTACACTCGTAGAAGGCCAAAATACGAAGTGAAATCTATTTTGGACTCTCGTGTTTCTAGGGGTCGTCTCCAATATCTTTTAGACTAGAAAGGGTATGGTCCCGAGGAACGTTCATGGGTGTATGTACATGCTACTCGCCTGGTTCGTTCATTTGAAAAGCGTCGTTCTCGCAGGCCAAGTCCTCCCCACCCTTGGGGCGGTTCTCGAGGGGGGGTACTGTTAATACCTTACCTTTACCCACCGGACCTTGCAGCGCGGCGGTCTCTCTTGCTACTTCTGGGAGGCGGCACAGTCCATCTGACGCTGGCCGCTCGCAGCATGCCTCTTCTTATGACTATTGCCGCGAAAATTCAAACGTGGCCACGCTTCTGAACCTTTTGGGGGCGTGGCTTTAAAGTAAAAGACACCTCACTATAAAAGGGCGTCCCTGTAATTTCTTCAGCGCCCTAGTGTGGTTCTTGTGTGTTCCCTCTAGTGCTCTTGCAATTCTTGACTCTTGGCTTTCCTTACTGATTCCTCTCCTCTCTGGTTTCCCGATCATTGGCTTGATTATTTCTTGTGTATTCCTATTTCTGTACTCCCTCGACTTCTGGCTATTCCTTTGACTATTCTTTGACGTTGAGCCCGGCCACCCTAAGGTCCGGAGCGGTCTCTTTCTGGGTTACTCTCTGCGTGAAGGGGTCACTGTCATGACAGATATAGAATTATGAAACCATGCATACTATATACATTTATTGGCACATTGCTTGATTAATGAGAGTTGATGCCTTGCAAGTATCCCATATCTACGAACAGACATACCAAGGCTATCTGGCATACACTGTCATACACATGCCCTCAGTGACATGTGCACAGGGCCATTTCCCTCCCTCTTCTATAATTCTAAAGTGCTGCAGAAAATTCTCTCTCTTTATAAATGCTAATAATAACAGTAACAATAAGACTAGTTAGACTTAAGAGGATACTAAAGGTGACAGTTTAAAAGTGAATAGTTTGTTATGATCACAATACCATTGTACATGCTTATGACAAGAGTACTTCCCCTCACTCTCATGAACAAATGCTTTTCATTTAAGTGCAACTATTTTGGTGCGTTTTATAGACACAAAAAAAGGCACAATA